CTTTTATCTGTTCAAATAACTGACTGCATTTGGCAGACACAGAGAGTGTGGAGAAAAGACAGAACTTTCTCTGTGCTTTTTGGCAATCTCACAGTCCATACATACTGATCCACACTCCAAACGCTCCAACCGTGGCCTCTGGGGTTTAGTAATTATTTACATGTTCTTGGTAAAAGAACAAAAACCAAAGGCTTCAAGTGGAGTGTGTCATGCAGCAGCCATGACACACAGAACAATAACAAGAGAATTTTACTGGCTCTGAATCCAGTATCTTTACATATTGGATATGGAGCCAAATACGTGGAATTTAGATAATTACACTTAACTTATAAAAAGGCAGTCACCCAAAGCTAACTTAAAAATCCTTTGTCATTCATTCATTCATTTATTTATTTATTCATTAATTTCTTTGCATCAGGAAAGAAAATAACAATCTCCCATTCACATATTCTGAACTCTGACACAACACCACATTTACTTACAGATGATAGGAGCTTAAGTACATGATGGCTGAGAGATGTTGTACCTTGCTTTTTACAGAGTACTCTAACCCCATACAGTTGGGCTCAAATGGGAGTGAATATTTTGTGAAACTGTGAAGTTATACAAATAGTGGCAGTTTGGGTCCATTCACCAAAATTCCAATTAGTTAGGCCTGGATGTGCCCATTATCAAACAGAAGTAGTTTATCAAAAAGCAATAGTTTAACAGTTCAGAGTCCCCATGGGACTCTTTACAAATAACAGAACTCCTGCACTTTATTGTAACTCATTGCTTGGAAAGGTCTCCAAATTCCAGCGGTCACTCAGGTCAATCAGAACTCTAAAGTAATTCTACTGATACGTAGATTGGGTAACTAAATCTCAGGATGTGCTCTGACAGAACAAGTACAACTCAAAGTCAGAGAAAAGAAAAAAACAAGAAAGGTGGACGAACATAAAAAAAAGCCACAAGGAAACAAAAGAAATTGAAGGAATTATTGCTCCGCATACTCCTGATTTGCCACATGTCCGGGACATCGCGCTTTCAGCCACGAGGCCCCAAAATTCTGGAACACTCTCCCTCAATCCCTCCACCTTGCCCCCTCTCTCCCCTCTTTCAAGTCCCGCCTGAAAACTTTCCTCTTCGACCGTACTTACAGCCATCTCCCCACTCCCCACTCCCCATGGCTGGGAGTCAGGCTCCGCCACTGTTAAGCGCTCTGAGACACTATCCTGTGTGGAGGGCACTATATAAGTGCAAGTTGTTGTTGTTTTTTTCCTTGGTTCTGCATTTTTGAAACTGTAAGATTTATGCAGTTGTCTGTGATCATTAGAACCTTATTATTACTATTAGACTGTAAGATTATTATACTGATTATTTGAACTGTGTTATTCAAGATTTATTGAGGATCTCCCCCCATGGGAGGGTAGGGGGGGAAGCACAGTCAAGCCTGATTTGGCCTCAGGTGATGCACACACTTGTGGACTTTGCAATAGGCAGCCAAAAGAAGATAAATAAAAAACTCTGACCCTATTTTCCATTCCTTTCCCCAGAACAATGAGGCCAATCTGAACAGTGCAGCAGGTTTTTAGAAAGTTAGTACAAACTGTAACAGACTATAAAATTAAGTCTACATTTTCATAATCTACCATCAAAATTCAACATAAAAAACAAATTCTTCACCCACCTTAATTTGTTTTATTTCCTTGCATTGTGTAAGGCTCTATAATAATAAACCTTGCATTTGATCTTTATCAAGTCTTCCAGACAACAACAACAACAAGATTACATTTGTATAGCGCCTTTCACATCGGAAGGACAGAATATATTGTGGGCGAAATGCAGCAGTCAATTGGGCACAGCAGTGTCCCTCAAACAGTTGTGGATCTGTAACACTTATGTATGCAAAAGGATATACAAGCTATTCTCAGACCTTCTGCAAAGAGCCACAAATAGCCAAGTGAGAGCAACATGTGGTTTTCTCTTCCTCCTTATAGGAAGCGGTTCACTTTCCTTGATGATCTGGATGAGATCCCTTTTTAAAGTCTAAAAATGTCTCAGTTATTTTAAAAATGTTAAAATACTAATATGCCACCATGCTCTACCACCAGTCAACCAACATCAACAACAACTTCCATTTATATAGCGCACTTCTCATGGGGTATGTCTCGGTGTGACAAGAGCTGCGAGCCAAACAAGAAAATGTGGAAACAATCTTATTCTAGCTAACGTCATTACAGAATGAATAACACATTTAATTTGAGCAGACTACTGTGCTGCTGAACAGAATCATTTACCTACAAATAATTTACTTCAACAAAGTGGTGCAAATGGTATAAACCAATGGCACAAATATGACTACTGGAAGCTGTGCTAGACAAGCAGAGAACGGATAAGGATATGGTGATTGAACCAAAAATGGCCTTACACTTCAGTTCAGTAATTACAGGTCACAGATGGCTAAAGGTCCAGGCCTGAAAATTCCATTGACAAAACACAGCAAGTTGTGAGGAAATCCTTATGGGACCAGTGGAGAGCCCCTTTCTTTAAATGTAACACTACAATCGTTGCAACACCTCAAAATGTGTTCATTCGTCTATGGATTAAGTATGGTTACATGTAAATTGTTTTGTAAATTTTGAATGTTTTTTCTTTAGTCTTTTCTTTTGACTGCATAATTAAACGATAAAATAAATCTAATTGTATTCATACTGTTCCCAAATTTTCCGGAGTTTGACTTTTATTTGTACATCATATTTCCAGCATAATGCTGCCTTTCAGAGCTGAAAAATAAAAAGAGGATAGCAGGAGATGTATTCATTGTCCTGTTTCATCATCTCACCAATTTACAGGGCAACCTCATTACAACACAGCTCACTAGCGTGCGATCTGCTTCTATACCAGGTGTTCTGTGAACCTGCAGTTATGGGAGGTAAGGTAATTTCCTTCTGGCTTCCATACGTGTATACAAAAACTGGCTGGTCAGCCTCGACTGCTCTCACAAGTGTTTATAGTGCTAGAAATGCGCAGACATGTGCAGGAAGCTGGTCAGTCCACATCAGAAGCAATGTCAATGGCAACCTCGTGACTGGGAGCAGGATAACAGCTATTTTTGTTCCCTGATCTGCTTTAACCCGAGGTCCAATTTAATTGCCCCAAATGCAACATTATTTTTACAAGGTTGCTGTAAACAGATTTAAAGTGAAAGCTTGCCACTGATAATGACATGAAGAACTGTACTTAAAAAGTATATTGCCAACAACATTCACAGCATGAGATTAAGTAAGAATTTCCATTCATATTCCACTAGGCAACAAGAAACTCCAGTATGCAATATGAATTACAACATCTCATTGAAATAAGAACGAGGGTTCTAATTCTTAAACCCTTTTTAACAGACATCTACTGTCTATTTTTCGAGCTTTATTACTTCTGACTGCATGCACAGAATTCAATAAACTAATGTATCTGTATACAACTGAATATGTGATTGTCCTGTATCAATGCATCACATAGAATGACAGAAAATGACTTGATACTGAAAAAATTAATTAAACAATTAATTTGATTATCTCACTCAGAACACAACGATATATATTTTTTAAAGATACATCTCCTGCTCCCCCCTTTTTATTTTTCAACTCTGAAAGACAGCATTATGGTAGAGATATGACGTACAAATAAAAGTCAAAGTCCAGAAAATTAGAACTTTGGAACAGTATGAATAGAATTAGATTGAATTGATCATAAATGTGGCAATGTGGGACATTTGAATGTGAGATCAGAAAAAAAAACTCAGCATTGTCTAGCGAGCTAATTTGTCATTTGTACCTTATTCGCCCCCACCGCTCCCCACTACCACCTCCCTTAAGATGTCAGAAAATACTGCAAACTATGTAAAACTCTGTGCGATACTAAGGGAAAAAATCTACTTCCTACAGAAACACGACTTCTAAAACACATTTACCCTCCTCTCCATTCATTGCACGCTATTAAACTGCATTGTTTATGTATAAAGTTTAATAGCATGCAATGAATAGACCTCACATAAAATCTACAAGTTCGCAATTATGAACATTGTACAGCCTTCTTCAGTTATTTATAATTGATGAAGATAAAAATACTGTAATTATGCATGAATTTACCACACTTGACACACTGTGATTTTTACTAAGGACCTGATTTTTTTTTAGCAAAGTAATAACAACGACGACTATTCATCTGAATTGTATCTTTTTCTCATTTGTTCATATGTCACGACCAGAACTCAATATATGTGCAAATCTTGTTTATTCTGAGGCGCTGGGAGAAGCAGGCCACTTGACGCTGTTGAACGCTTGCAGAGTCACCATGCTTAGCTCCATTTCTTTTTACCATTACAGTCAAAGCTGTTAAACTAACCACTGCTATTCAGCAACCACCTGCTGTTAACAATCATCACTTTTCTATAATAATCCACCTCTATTCAGCAACCTGTCTAATGCAACTCGTGTCCACTATTTTTTTGTCCCGTTGGTGCTAGTGACATCTTTTCCAGCAACCAGATCCGTTCCGATGGGCTGTTCCGCGCAGCATCGGCACATGCTATAGGAGTCTGGCAGGAATCTACATAAGGGCCCACAGATAATTTTGGTCCATGGTAACAGTAACAATTTGTATTTTTGTGATTGATTTATTATCCTTTATTAAAACTAGTTTGATTTATGGGTTCGTATATGCACTGTATTTTTTCTATACACTTATACACTTAAAAATTCTACACACACCAACAAACCCTTACTCAGAGGCCACTTTGTCCCAGACCCACCTGAGTGGTTGCTAAAAACAGTTTTGACTGTACTTTTAAGGGAAGGTATTACTATCTCTCCACAAGAATGAAGAGATGAGACAAACAACAGTATCAATATCACATTTGAAGAACATAAGTTGTTTTCATCCTTTTAAAAATTGACTATATTGAACGTTAAGCTTAATAACAACACTGACTGTTTAAAGAGTAGAACTTAATGTGTTTTTACCTCAATGATCCTGTCATGAACTTGCAATCCATCTGCCTGGTCAGCAGGGCCATTCTCCATAATTTTGGAAACATAAATTCCTTCAGCACAAGAATCTTCCTCAGCGTTCTATAAAGTGAGAAATCCAACCACAAAGCAAGAAAAGAAAACATTAGTGGGGGGTAAAAGACAATTACTAAAAGCAATAACAAAAATAATTCCAAGTTTGGGGGCGGGGGGGGGGGAGGTTGGGGTGGGTAGATGACAGTTCTTGACTTGGCTGGAGATTTAGCACAGGAAAATTTTTGCTTTCAAACCCCAAAATACATCCATTACAATGATACTAGATGAGATGACCTGTTCTTTGGAAGAGACATTAAACCAAGGTCGCATCTGCCTGTTCAGGTGGATGTTAAAGATCGCATTGCACTATTCGAAAAGAGAAGAGTTTCTCCCAGTGTCCTGGACAACAATCCCCCAAAATAGAATTGCTCATTCACTCTATGGATGTTTTTGGTGGTGCTTTGTGGGTGTATGAAAATATCAGTTAAAAATAAAACATTTTGCAAATACATGCAGTGACTACAAACAGAAATGGGAAAGAATGGACAAATTGCATCTTTTTCACAGCAGGGTGACCTCTGCATGTGTCTGCACTGCTCTCAATCCTTTCAATAGAAACAAAGTACTAAGATAATAATAATACTTGCATTTGATATCGCGCTTTATCATGTCTTCTAGATATCTCAAAGCGCTTCACAGGATATACTGTGAAGTGAATTGACTGTAGATTTTGTGGGCGAATCGTGGCAGCCAAATGCGCACAGCAGTGTCCCACAAACAGTCGCAGATTGAAGCGACCAATTTGTTATTATTATTTTCCTGCTCAGGATTTCCATTGTTTAGCCAAGCAAATAATATCCAATAAAAATAAAAATACTGCATAATTAAAATTCACCAATCAATGAACTGATTATGCTTTAAGAACCTTGGGCAAACTACAATACTGCGATTGTTTCCTTGATCTTCAGGATCAACTTCTGTGCACCAAAACAACTTCATAATCCATTCTCACAGGCAAGAGCAGAGAGAAAGCTTCACGAATGAAGTAATTATTTTAGACCAGATCACCTTATCCAAGCTGTTTATAGAAATTTAGTGATTTATTCACAGCAAACATAGTTTCTGCCATGTGAGTTTTTACATGGATTGAAACATCCTGAAAAGTGATCTAAGGAGGATTTGATCATCAAAGAGCACAGCTTCATTAGGTAAACTTTTGAGTTAAAACTTGGAAATGCAGCTTTAACTTATTTAGCATCCTACAGTTCGTAAGTTGCTTATCTTATTCTAGCCAAATCAGTTAAGGTTTTATATGAACTGAAATTTTGTGCTGAGTTAAAGCAAGGCTAGCTTTTTTTAATACACATTTTATTCTCATCTCAAGAGGGTTGTGAGTGAGTGAACACTTGCTGTTGATATTATGGGTTACAAACCTTTTCTTATGTTACATGATATATATTTTGTCATTCCTTTTACTTCAGATAGCCTTGAGCAAACTCTTCTAAGAACATGAAATGTGGACTTTCTCCTCCATCTCCACCAAACGCACTTGGAGTTGCATGAGACTAGTTCAAAGTAAATTGCTTTCCAGAAATCCATGACCCATTTCTACTTGGATGTTAGAGTTATGTTAGAGTTGGACAGCCCAATCTATGACACAGATTATTAATGGGAAAATCCAAAGAAGTTTGAGTTGCTTTGGAAGAACCTTGATGATACAACAGTTTTGCTGAATCTCAGCACCTGCATCCCATCATGAGTGGGCAGAATGACATCCAAGAGCTCAAGCCTCAAACATTGCCATGGAACAGCAAAATCAGCAGAGCAAATGATGAAATAAAAATGGGCTCAGCAGCACACAAATGTAATCATGTGGTATTATTTGATTTAAACTTCTGACAGTCATATTCCACCACAAAAAGCAAATGACTACATCAAAAATGTGACCCGAGACACTACTTACAACCCTAACCCAACTTGCCCTTTTCCTATAAACTGTCTAAAGCATTCAACTCAAAACTGGTTTCCTTTTCTAATCCTCAAATCAACAAACCACATCACTGTCTATACAATTTAGCTGGCTTTGGGATGCTCAGTGTTTATCAAAGGTTTATGGCAGGTAAACGTGAAATATCCTTTCAAGGTCGAGCAGATGAGATAAAGATTATTTCAGAATTTAATCAAGCAATTTATACACTTGAACACGTGAGTACATTACAAAGCAAATAGTGAAATTAGATTAAATGTTTGGAACACAAGTTTAGGCACTATTCAAATGTAAGAATGTACAAAAAATGGCTCTTATTTGTCACTTGGATTCAATCCTTATCAAAATGGGGTAACAGAGCCAGAAAATATGAGTTCCATTACAATGTTCTCTCCTGAGGAAGGGAGGGGAGAAAAATCAGTCAATACTTCTCCTGACCAAGACCCAGTGAGTCCTGCTGAAAAGAACATATGTAAAGATAGATGTTGGGCGAGGGCAGAATCAAGGTCATCCATGGTCTCTGATTGGATCGCCTGGCAATACTATGATCTGGGCTCAGGAAGAATAGCCATTGGACGATGTACCAGAAGATAGCTGATGTTTTGGAACTATATCAGATCTTAGAAGTGGATGGGAGATAAACAAGCACACATGTAATGCTTTGCTGGAAGGTATAAAGTGTTTGTGTTCAGATTAGATTTTCCAGGAGTATGCATTATTATATGGCTCAAAGAGAAGTAGTAGCATGCTCCCAAAGGCTCCTCTAATGCCACTCTATCACTGGCTACCAGGATTGCACAAAAAAGGGTTGGGTTGCCACACTCTCCAACATTGCTTCTTTCTCAGTGGGAAATCAACAGTCCGGAGAATGCTGTCTTCTTTCTGATTAAATGCTGTGGAATGGCCTTCTAGAGGATGTTAAAGCATAAATGTTCTTCTCATGTTACTGAAGAAGGAAGTTTGTCAAAAACATACAGTACCATTTTCCACATCTGTTGTAAATATCCGAACAGCTCAAAAAGGCCCCTTAACTATCAGTGATTTCATTTCTTTGAGTAATTGAACATAACCAGTCTCGTCAGCTGAACTGAGTAGTCACCAGGTCACAGAATAAAGCAAAATACTTGGCCCAGGAACATCCACCTCATTTAACTATGTGGGAGAAAACTGCTTCACAAGCTGCAATACATGCACAGAGAATAGTGACAGAGAGGTTAAAAGGAACTTTTTAATGCAGTCCAGGGTTTGTTCTTTCTTTGGTACTCAAAACAGATTGTGTCCAGAGCACAGCGCCAAATCAAACATCCTTCATGAAGTTTGCAAGAGACAAATATTTAAAAAAATGAAATATACTAAGAGAAACAGTTTGAACACCATACTTACTTAATGATAGCCTTGGGTTTGAAATCTGAATTGTGACAAGGAGCCACTATTCTATGTAGGTTCCATTAGAACAGTATTGCCTGAGTGATGTTGAGGAAAGGCAACTGGAATTAATATTTTCTTAGCAGCATCAAGCCAATATGGAGCATTTTCAGGGCCAGCAAATGGATTCAGTTCAAGAATTACGTAAACTAAATAGGAAATGCAACTTTGTAGTACAATGTTGTAGTTTGTTTAGGGAATTTACATTCCATTGGGGCAGCGTTCAACTCAGGTCATGCATCTTTCCATGCATTCCCCATTTCAAAGTGCACTGTTCTTCTTAGCTGCTTCCAGATCCCCTCCTCACCCAAAAAATAGAAATTCCACAACAGGCAACCTTCCTGAACTGCACAGAATGGCATTGGCTGGATGCCTGCTCGGAACTGCCCAAATAGTTTAAATGGATGCAGCCAGAGTATTACCAATGACAAATAAACAATGCTCCTTTTTCCAATTGGACAACAGGCATGAACTGATCAGACTGTAACATGATATCTGTTGTTGGCAGTGTTCCACTTATCTCTCTCTCTTGTGATCCTTCTTTTTCTGATACGTTTTTTCCCTTTTATGGATTCAGTTAACCATATTGCTTCACGAGTCGCTTCTGGCATTCAATAATGCTCCAGTGTTTTTAATTCAGTTTGTCAAAAGATCAGTGGGCAAAGGCACCACCAAGTGATGCACAAACCAAATAGGTTCTTCAATCCCTCCACTTCAAACTCTCTTTCTGCCTTCAAGTCGAGCCTTAAAACCTACATCTTCAACCATGTTGTTGAGTTAAGCTGATCTCAGTAGTGGATGCCACAGTTGGTCTCAATGCCATATGATACTCTGCTGGAAAGAAATCTAGCTTTATATTACAGTAACTGTGACTGGGCAAAGGTGACCTACTTAGTGAGATGACCAGATTACTGAAATAGGATTACATAGGATGAACATAGACACCTTTAACATTACATAGGATGAACATTCAACAACCATGCTTTGCAATCTCACTAAAATAAAGGCATTGTCACATTTTAAACAGATTTAGGTTTCATTATTCAAAATTCACATGAGAGGTCAATATCACAGAAATGTTCATTTCTTGAAGAAAGAGTCCAGCGTTGTTTGCCTGGCTGCTGATTAAACCTGCACTGACTTGGGCTGCAGCTGACCCTCAGCATCAACCAAAGTCTGTCACACATTGAGTCCATGATCAAGGCAAAAGTCCTTCACTTGTCCCAACAAACCCAGTGCATCAGCATAAGTGAAAGGGGTCCTTGGTGTTGGCGGTTGCTCTTCCTGTTCCTTCTCTTGTGGGTCTTGTTCCCCGGTAGAAACTCCTCTGCAGGAGCTCAGGCTAGGCCGCGGGCGCCGAGTGAAGTCGATTTTTCCGCTCGCACCATTTTCACGATCCCAACACTCCTCGCACCGTGCACGAGTAACCGGAGCTCACTCCGCTCACAGTAGCAGCATTGAGGAAACAGTGCGAGAAGCCCGAGGCCTGGCGCACTGTGTACTGTACAAATTAGTAGCGGAGGGGGATGTTTGTACTGCGTTTGAAGCAGAGCAAGGCGCTAGTAGCAGCCACAATCAATGACGGTTGCCCTGAATAGTGCGGTGCCCGGTTTACTGAAGCAGACAGACAGCCTGGCTTTTAATATAGACAATGAAAGAGACTGTGAAAATGTCCCAGCAATTTTGAGGTGGCTGGATTACTGAGGTGACCACAAACCGGGTTTTTAGCGTACATCGTAAACTTTCTTGCAGCAAACACTTGGATGAAATCACAGCGCTGATTTGCTGCAGTTTGTCTTTTCGGGTCCACTAAAAGGGACTTAACTCTTCCGTTTTGGCATTGATTTCACATGTGAATCAAATACTGTACAAAATGTTGAACAGTTCTCAGGCACACCCGGGTCTTAATGTCATCCTACCATAAATTAGCAAAAAAGAGCAAGTTGAAAGAAAAGTTGAAAGAAAGAAATTTAACAGAAAATCCACAGTATAAGTGGCACATTGTGACAAAAAGAACAACTCACAATGTTAAGTGCGTATCCTGCGGGGAACACTACATACATCACACCAACTTGTGAGACTTCAACTACGACCAAAAATTTCCTCGTAGCCAAGGTCGACGTGACATACATTGGTTTCTCCGCAGGAGGTGTCTGTGACGTCTCACAGCACGTTTTCTGGCATGCAATGTATCATTTATGACGCAGTTTTGCTGTTCAAGTGCTGATTCAACCCCAATGTTGAAAAATTACAGGTTGGATTTCTTTGTGAAAGATTAAAGGCTTTGGTACACCTTGCTGATGATATTGTTTGCAAGTAAATGATTCAAATGTGGCTCTTTGGATAGAACACTGTGTTTCCCTTTAAATGTAGCCCATTTTAGCCAAGCATAATGGGTTCTCAATTGCTCAATCTCTAATGGTTCGATTTAACAAAAAAATACATTTGTACCCTGGGGCATTCATTAGACAGGAGTACTATTTCACAAAATATAAGTTCTATGGACAATATTGAGGGATTTGTTCTATTTTCATTTTGCAACAATTGTGTGGGAATATTAGAATTGAATTTCGGTCAGCATTTAATAGGACACGTAGAACGATATAATTTGGTGTATACAGTCAATCCTCATTGCAATGCACGACTTGAGATGAGGCGAAGTTGCATCTTATCATGAGAAGGAGAAAGCTTTCAAACGTCAATACTGTAAATGCCAGTATTGAAATCGTTGTCAGTGTTACAGTGTCTTATGATTAAATGTTGCTGCCAAGGGACACAGAACAAAATCTGTAAATGCAGGGAGACGACATGAAAAATAACTGTAAACAGAATTGTTAAAATGGGTTTGTTTTATGAACTCTGTATGTAATTTACCACTGAATAAAGAAAATTAAATCAAGATTACAGCTACATTTTTGAAAATTAGCTCAAATTTGCTGAATTTTATGCCAAGTGATCTTGAATGTACTCCTAACATGGCCCATATTGTGTGACCTTGAAATGGAGATTCGGACAAAAGTTATAGATTCAGTGGAGTGGAGAAAGGCAGAAGAAAGAATTAGAACACAGAGAACAACAGAAACACATGCCAGAGAGAAACAACCAGAGAAGGAGGGAAATAGCTAAAGTACAGCAAGTCAGGAAAAAAGAGATATAGCAAAGAGAGGGGGAGACAGCTTCCTAAACACAGAGAGAGCAAGAGGCAGCCAGAAACAGAAAGAGGAAGAAATATACAACAGGGAGGGAGAGAGACAAACGGACAGACAGAGAAACGAGGATTTAAAAAAGATTCTGACACAAGGTTAAGAAAGAGAACCGGGAGGTCAATACAAAGCTTTAATAGACGTGAGAGAAGGACATTGATAAGAGGTCTAGAAGGACATTGATAAGAGGTCTGGAAGCCTGGTGAGACGAATAACCAACAGTTGTACATTATTGTGAATGTTGACAAAGATTCTAAACAGAAACAGGATTTTTCTCGCAGGAATGCTCATTTCTTTCCTTCTTTCATCCTCTTTATTATTTATAAGTAGTAAATCACTTACAATTTAAAGTAATGAAAATCCTGCTTGCCATGAGATCAAATTAATCACAGCTCCTAGAACATGCAATTTTTAAAAATTCTTCCAGCCACAGTTGATTCCACAGAGGTTAGACAGTGCTCTGCAAGAAAAGTCTTGCATAAACTTAGAAATATGTTATACACTACCAGGGAGACTTTTAATCTGGTTCAAGCTGTTAATAACGGCTGGTTTCTGGAGTGAGTATGCCTTGTATAGTCCAAATATTAGAGTTGAACTAAGTTAAATGAATTCATCCAGTTGGAAACAAGAATTTGCATAGCAGCCCCAATAGTAGAATAGATATAACTGCACTTTACAGACTAAAAGTTTGGTTTGAATCCCAATCTGTGGTGTTTCCATGGGAGGGTAAATTGGCCCAGTCTTTCCAGGCTTATAAAGGATCACCAGCTTGCCTTCCTTCTCCTAGACCCTCTAAAGTACCCTCTAATTGTTGGGTGCGTGTGGCAGCTGGGTTGGAAGAGGTCAGGCTCGACTGTGACGCCCTCTGCAGTTGAGTGGCTTGCCAATGACTCTCATTGCCAACTCTCACTCATGAACAGAGGCCACTTAACCAGGATACCAGAGGGCCATTTGTGCCAGTGAAACTGCATCTAGCAAGGGAGGCCAGGTAGGAACAGTGAGGCAAATACCAACACGGATAAAATTAGAAAAAACAATTGGACACAGTAAATGTATTAAAAATAAACAAGAAGCTGAGGTTGCAAGATGCCACGTCAGCCCCAAAATACTGAACTGGCACTGTGTCAGGCCAACGACTAAAATTACCACAGAGGCTGGAATCAGGTTGGGATAACAAGTATTTTTGCTTACTTTTACTGGCTCCTCCCCCTTATCGGTGTCCTTTCAATGCCAACGTGGGCATGCATTTCATATAACAATTCCAGTATTGTAACAGAAAACCCAGGTGCACAGTCTCATGCCAGAGCGTACTCTGAATTCTCCTGTATATTTTTCCGGCAACAAGTTACACTGTCATCTACTCTGTTTGCATTCATAATTCAATAGAAAAGTGAGGGAGGCCTGCAACAATTAAATCTTAGGGGATACAGACAAAGTGAAAGATGCAGGAAGCTTCATGAAAGGAGAGACGTCTCAGAGGTAACCTTATTGAGGTATACAAGATTTTAAATGGGATTTTGAAATTAAACCCAAAAGAATACCTTTGGATACACTGAGACAGCAGAACAAGAGGCACTGGTTTAGGGTTATAAAGGGGAATTTCGGGACAAACACCAGGGAGACATCGGGGATTTTGAATTGAGACGGAGGATGACTATGGATATTGATCCAAGTTCAAATATAAATATGTTCAAATATAAGTTAGCAAGCTCAGGCTTACAACAGGATTCATTTCTTTTCAGTATGAATACATTCATTGTGATTTCAATGGGAGTTTAACTCTCATGGGAGTTTCATACGAGTCTGAGGATAGCAGCAGCCTCAGTCAGTGGCTTTCACCTTAGTTTCACATATATTCTATATGGAAGAAAATCAAACAGCAAAACAGTGCCACAACCTTAGGAAGCATCGGCAATCTCAGTGTAATTTAAGTGAACACAAAAAATAAAATCTACCCCAAAACTGGAAGTCAACTGTTAGTGAACTTTCTTTTGATGCTCCTCTTACCCGAAAATGATAATAATAATAATAATCCTTGCATTCGATATAGCAGCTTATCACGTCATCGAGGCATCCCAAAGCACTTCACAGGATATATTGTAAAGTGGAATGACTCTGTATTTTGTGGGGAAAACTTGGCACCAGTTGCACGCAGCAATGTCCCACAAACAGCCATGGAGGAAGTGACCAATTTTATTTGGTGAACTGTTAGCTAGGACACTGGGAAAGAGAAACTACCTTCGCTTTTTGAATAGTGTCATCGGATCTTTAACATCCAACTGAACAGGCAGATAGGACCTCAGTTTAACAACAACAAGATTCCATTTATAAAGCGCCTTTCACGTCAGGAGGACGTCCCAAGGTGCTAACGTCTCATCCGAAGGATGATTTCGTACCAAGAGTTTCTGAATCCTTCCCACGCATTTTATTGACCCATTAAAAAACATTTTTAAAGAAAAAAAATGTACAATTGTTACCCTATGTTTAGATTGCGCATAGCAATGTCTCAATATCAGACATGAAATGAGTAACCAATTTTAATTTGAGAGGTTGTTGGTGAGAACAGTTAATATTTGATGAATACAAAACAAGGACGAGTAGAAGCAGGTAGGTAAATATTAGAAAGATGATCACGCTACAAAATAAAACCCGAAAAGGTTAAAACCTACCAGACTGGGCCTTCCACCAATTATGTTAAATCCAAGAGTATCATTTTCTCGATGCAACACTATAGTTAGTGGTTTGGTTTCTCCACCCTGTTAGGAAGAAGAAACAAGGGATAGAGAAATTAGAAGAACTCAAAACAGTGAAAATATAAACTGTCAAACAACAATATTGCGTGAATATTACAACAAGAATAACATAGCCTTTTTTTAACCAGTAACTGCAGTCAGTGCAGTATCAGTTTTATTTGTATTTGCAGATTGCACTCAGTTAGGCTTTTCAAACCAAATATACGTTAACCTCTTCTTAGTGCACACTCATTTCTGCACTGAAACCAGTACATCTGCTGGATCGCATTCAGGTTCTCTTCTGACCAACCTGTTGGCGTGTCAACAAATACAGCAACAGATCATTTCAACTGTCAAATATTTCAAATCATACTATTTGCAGGAACCCAATTCTTTTGAAATCAGTTTTAAAGTAGCGTTACTCAGGTGCTTGCACGAATGAAATTAGTCCAGTTTAAATTCAGACAATCAAACCTAGCAAATAGCAGTTGTGCAACACGCAGTATTGGAAATGAGGAGCAAGCATCCTCAATCATACAGGGTTACAAATGTCACAAATTACTCCATGGGCATGATTTTTTCATCAGTAGTAGCTGCGAGTGCCGTTGCCACCTGGCAAGAGATAGCATTTAATGTTAACAATAATGGAAGGAAAAAAACACATATTAAGCATTCAAATTTCCCATCGTAATGGTTCCAACTGGAAGAGACTTGCATCAGGACTCACAGATATAGGCAAAGGCTGCATCACTAGTAAAACTACCTGTTTTCCCCATTTTTAATAGAGAACCTGAGTATTTATGTTATAATAGCTGTACCCGTTGCAGCTTTGCTTGCAACCAAATGATCCAATATGGAATGCAGATTGACACACAGACAGACAGACAATTTATCTTTATCCATACTTAGCTGGGAGAACTCCTGTGGGAGGACGCCTTTTGGGAGGACTCAGGAGGATATTTAATATATTTTCTCTCAGTCTCTCTGTCTCTCTCCCTCAGTCTCTGTCTCTCGCTCTCCATCTCTCAGTCTCCCTCTCTCAGTCTATCTCTCTCTCAGTCTATCTCTCTTTATGTTTCTCTCAGTCTCTCTCTCAGTCTGTGTTTGTGTGTGTCTCTCTCTCAGTCTCTCTCTCTCTCAGACTCTCAATCTGTCTCTCCCAGTCTCTCTTTCTCTCTCTATCTGTCTCTCTGTCCCACATGGGAGAAATCTAGCTCCCATGATAACCAGAAAAACTCCTATACATTTGTTGCAGAATAGAGATGTATCTCTCTGAACTGTGTGTGCTTTCCTCTGTCACTACATAGTGGCAGAATACAATGCATACCTCATATTTTGGGGCTTAATTGAAGCATTTTTTAATATAGCTCATCAGCAATAGGAGATCCCCTCAAAATATTATGCCCATGACACTGCCAGATGCAAGACCTTTCTGATGAGGTACAAACCATGTCTCTACATCAATTGTTTTTGCGTGATTGTCAGATACACTGATACACACTGACAGACAGACATTTCATTTTTATTTATATAGATTTATGTTGGCTGCACTGAGCCAAGAAACACTGCTCATGGGCATGTTATACAATACAAAATTACATTTGTATTGTGCCTTTCACCTCGGGAGGATGTCACAAGGCATTGGACAGTCAGGGATTTGGACCCAAGCTTGGGGTCAGGATCGGGGAGGATGGAGGGCAGGGAGGGTGGCCGAAGGCTCAGTTGAAGAGGAGGGTTTTGAGATGCACCTTCAAGGAGGCAACGGAGGGAGCAAGAGAAGAGAATGGGGAATGGAGTTCCAGAGGGTGGGGGCAGAAAGGCTGATGGCCGACCGTCAATGGTCGTTCGGGCTGGGCGGGGGACATGGAGCAAGCCACAGCCTGCTGAGTGGAGAGACACAGGGTCAGCAGGTCACAGAGGTAGGGAGGAGCAAGGGTTTGGAGAGCCTTGAGGTCAAGGACGAGGATTTTAAACTGTATCCTCTGGGGATGGGGAGCCTGTGGAGCCGAGCCAGGGTGGGAGTGATGGGGTCACAGAGCCCGGTGTAGGACAGGACAAGAGCTGCAGAGTTCTGGATGATCTGCACTTTGTGGAGGGAAGAAGCAGCGAGTTGGTGCAGTCGAGCCCAGATGTGATGAATGCGTGGATGAGGGTTTCGGTGGCCTGAAGGGTGAGGCTGTGGCAGAGAGGGGCATTGTTGCGCAAGTGGTGGAAGGCATAGCGGGTCATAGCATGGATGTCGGGTAGAAAGGACAGTTGAGGGTCAAACAAGACACCAAGGTTCCGGACGGGCTTGGTGAGTTGGTGTGTGCATCCCTGGATGGTGATGCTGTCAGCACCTAAGATGCTGATGGGAGCCAATCAGGAGGGTCTTGGTCTTGTTGACTTTCTCGTTGCAGAAAGTTAGCTCTTATCAGGACTTGACATCTGACAGACATTCTGTCAGGACAGCAGTGGTCCTGGAGTCGAGGGTGGAGGCAGAGAGTTAGAGTTGGGTGTCATCCGCATACATGTGGAAGTTGACCTCATATCTGCTGATGATGTCACCAAGAGGGAGCATATAGATATTGAAGAGAAGGGGACCAAGGTCAGAGCCCTGAGGAACGCTGCACTATGATAGCACTAATGCAGGCAGAATTGCTCCTTACCTTCCTGGCATAGCCCAATGCACCACTTGTCGTGTATATTGGCTCCTTTGAGCCATAAAAAAATAATACCCCTCAGCTGCAGACTCAAATTGAGTAATTATATTGTAATATTCTAATTACAATATGATTTGATACAGCATCTCATTGCACCAAACAGCCAGTTTCTTTAAGGTGTAGTGACTGCAGTCCAGAAACATAACTTATCTATTCAAGCAATGACATGCAGAAAGGACTGACATGATCAAAAACATTTAATCTGTATTTTTTGGTGAATTTGGTGAGGGAGAAATAATTGGTGGGACATTCCAGGAACTTCTTATTCTTCTTGCTAAGAGTGTCATTGCTAACCCTTGCCACCACAATAAGAGGGCTAGCACTAGGGCCCGTGACAGACCCAGGAGACAGGTACATTCGGCTGAATGTAGAAGATATCCAAAGCGCAGATAACCTGATATAGCGGCAGACTCATCTCAATGGTGAAGCATGTATAAATCTCAACAGAGGGTCACATGAAGAAGGTCCTTTGTCCCATATCATCTCATCCTTCCAGAATAACATCCTGCCATGCTCCTGTCACACCATCTACTGTTTGTTAAGTGGGCTAGTGTCTGTCCTAGCCTCGGCCTTCCTGATAACCTGTTCCAGTTGTTAAACACGTGCCGGTTAAAGAATACTTCATGGTGTATATCCTGAAATTGCCCTTTATAACCCTACAGCGAATTGTCCTCTTGTTCTATCATCTCGATGCAGCTGAAAATATTGTTCTGGGTTGACTTTCTCAATCCCATTTAAAATCTTGAATACTTCTATAAGGTCCACTAGGTATCCAGCATCAGTCAATTATGGGACTCTGAAATTTTTGTTCATTAAAAAAAACAGCATTCTCTTACTCGACAGTTCAATGCTATATTTTGTGACGTGGAAGTCCAATACAAGGTTTGCCATTGAGAACGACAAGTGGGTGAGGGGTTGGGAGTTTCTGCCTCAGACACTTCCAGGAAACATTTGATGTCATAAATATGGAATGTGTTGGTAAATGAATCGCATAGTACGATAGTTCTAGAACTTTCTTTGGTTTGTGCTGAATTTAGCAGTAGAACATCAGCAATCTTCTCATGGTCTCCAAGGTAATGAAAGGGGAAAGCTAGGATTAGCCAGGAATCTTGTTCACACTGCTGTCCAGTGACTCCTGCTCCAAAGTGCATGTGCATAGATATCTTATGAGGATAGGATGTGTGGGGCTTGGCTGTCGGTCAAATAGGCTGCCAACATTCACATGAAAAACAACCTCTTGGCAAGGTCCCAAAGGTCTGGGACTATCTGAGAAACAATACACCTGTACAGCTTACTGCCCACAACACAGGAGGACAAGATTAGAGCATCTGTCATTCAATCAGTAGCACAGCGCCATCTAATCTGGTTACAAATGTATTCACTAGAGACAATATTTTCATTCTCAACTCTTGTCAAAACAGTGCGTGTAAACATAACTATAATAGTAAATAACATAATAGTAAAAGACAAATAATAAAGTTTAGATAATAATAAGCCTTGCATTTGATATAGCGCTTTTCACATCTTCTCGACGTCTCAAAGCCCTTCACAGAATATGCTGTAAAGCGAATTGACCGTATATTTGTGGGCAAAACGCAGCAGCCAGTTGAGCACAGCAGTGTCCCATAAACAGTCATGGATTGAAAATAACCAATTTATTATTGTTTTGTTTTTGGAGGGATTATTATTAGGCGTGTGGATTAAGGAAACTTGCCCAAGGTTTCGCCCTGCCTGGAATTGAACCCAGGTGTCTCGCTTGCAAGGTGAGTGCAATGAGTTACAGGACTCCAAGATGGAACAAATGAAAGAGATAATGATCTCCGTGCTGTGTAACTAATTTTACAGCTCAAATTCTCTGCTTCCTGGATGCTTTTAAAGAAATTTATTCAGCTATTTTCTGATTGCAATGCAAGTAAAGCACCCTTAAATGGTTATCAGAATCCCAGTTTTTCTTTTTGAAGAACACATCCACTTTCTGACAGAATCAAAGCAGGTTCCTTTATTTTAAAATATCTGTTTCTCACTGCTCATGATCAATATTAGTTTGAATGTATACTAGCAGTTGTAAGATTCTTCTTTTAAATTGTCATCTGATGTCCAACAATTGGTGTGATTTTAATTGCTCCAAATGGAAAGAGTAACCATTAATCATATTTTTTCATTATTACAATGATAACCCTTGCATTTGATATAGTGCCTTATCGTGTCTTCCAGATGTCTTAAACGCTTCACAGAATATACTGTAAAGTGAATTGACTGTATACTTTTGTGGGCAAAAAATATAAACTGTTATGCATTATGGACGGACAAACTATCCAAACAGAAGCGACAAAAGGACCCATAATGAGTGGGCAGGTTAAGCAAGCTTAACTTGGGCTCAAACAAGATGAAAGCTATCAAGAACTCAAATTGATATTTGAGTAACTGGAATGAAAAAATGATGGTTAAGAATCAACCACTCTAGTAATTATTGTCACTTCAAGACGCGGTGAAATGCCAGTTCACATTCCACCCTTGTGCAATTTAATGTATGAAGAGCAACAAAAAAAAGCACCAAATGTTTTTCCTTTTTTAAAAAAAAGTGAAAGAATTAGTAGGTACAGTCCAAACACTGGAATTTTACTATAACTAAAACTCAATGCAATAATGAGAGATTTGGCACAGACACAAATGGCTTTTGAAGAGCTTCTATGTCATCTCAATTTCAGATTTGAACTCACTGCTGTGTCTCCACAACAGCTCTATTTATGATGTAAGTTAACAGTATGACACCCACTTTCAAACGTATGAAATATTTCTCAGAAAACAGTTGCAAAACAGCAAACAACCAAATCAAAAATTGAAATAGCATATTATCAGATGCACAATATTTGTCACACATTTTTCCTTTACTACATGTGAACTGTCCTGTATGCACAGTGTTGTTTTAAATAACTTAAATAGAGCATAAAATTCACAAAATTGATTGGTCCTTTTCGTTTTTGAAAATTAATCAATGTTTTAACTCCAATTGGGGTACTGAATCGGGTAGGTTCAATCAATTTATTTAACTTTGATTCAAATTTGAGTTAATGTTGATTAAATATATAGTCCCATTTGCCTGCAAAACATACATTCACCACACTTTACAGCATATCCGGTGAAGAGTTTTTTGAGTCATCCTGACATGAAACCCACAACACCAAACGTAAGGATTATTATTAATAATAATTAATCATTTTCTTATGATACGAAAAGTACCTAAACCACAATATAAATGATCTATCGACTTCAACTTCTGGGTTTACAGAATGCATAGAACTAGAACAAGGTTATATGTTAAATTGGGTGGTGGGGGGGGGGGGGGGAATCTTTTCATGATCTTCTACATTTGCTGCCTCGATAAATAGGAATGTTACATACACCCTCCTGTTTGAATTCCTGTGATTAATTAATTTGAATGAATTTCTCCTCCTTTTAAAAAAAACGCACAACTTTCTGGAGTTTGCTTTGCTCTGGTTCAGTGGATGACATTCCTGTTTAAAAATATCAGAGTCAACAACCCCGAATCTCTGGGGCTGAAATTGACAAGGGACATCAGTGGGTATTTGTGGAGTCCTGTAGCTCAGTGGTTAGAGCCCTCGTCTTGCAAGCGAGACACCTGGGTTCAATTCCCGGCAGGGCGAAACCTTGGGCAAGGTTCCTTACTCCACACGCCTGATAATAATCCCTCCAAAACAAAAAACAATAGTAAATTGGTCATTTTCAATCCACGACTGTTTGTGGGACGCTGCTGTGCGCAAGTGGCTGCCGCGTGTCGCCCACAAATACGCGGTCAATTCGCTTCACGGCATATTCCGTGAAGGGGCTTCGAGACGTCTGGGAGACGTGGAAAGCGCTGTAATCAAATGCAACGATTAGTATTACCATCATCATCACCATCGCCATCACCATCAATAATTATTATTTCGCACGTTACGCCGACGATTCGCACACATCGCCCCCCCCAGTAACACACAGCAAACAAATAACAAACAAACAAACAAACAAACAAACAAACAACCCAGACGTCAATGAGCAAAGCCCACACGAAAGTGTGAGCTCCTCTCCCCTTCCCCCTCTCCCCTCTCCCCTCTCCCCTCTCACCTTGCAGTGACCGGCTATATTTTTCGTGATGTTGCTGATGTGGCTCATGTACTCGTTAAACTTTTTCTGGTACTTCAGCGCCGTGAGCTGCACCTCGCTCTGCAGGGCTGAGACCTGGACGACCAGGGACTTCTCCCTTTTGCCGTACCTGACCGCTTGCTTCTTCAGCTCCTGCTCCAGACTGGCGGTCTTCACCTGCAAGGAGCTGCTCTGGGCTTTGAGCGCCCGCACGCAGCAGTGGCTCGGCTGCGCCAGGAGGTCCCGATGGAGAAGCACCAGCCCGCAGCCCTTCTCGCAGATGCCCACCGGCCGGTACTCGCAGCTCTCCCTCATGTGCACGTCCATCTCCTTCAGGTCCAGCACCTCGTTGCATCCCTTATTCCTGCACTGGGCTGGGCTGTAGTCGCACATCTCCACGTGCTCGGGGAGGTGCTGCAGGTTGACCACTTTGCCGCAGCCCCGGGAGCGGTAGTCGCACTTGATGTCCAGTTTGGAGATGAGGTTCCTCAGGGGCAGGACGTGGTTCAGCTCCTTGGTCGAGATCCTCTGACATTTCACCGGGCAGATGCCTTGCTGCACCACCCAGGGGAGGACGCAGCTCGCGCAGAAGACGTGGCCGCACGGGGTGGTCAGCGGGTCTTCGAGAACTTTGTTGCAGAGGTTGCACTGCAGATCCGGATCCACGTCCTCGTTGAAACGATCCAGTTCGAAACCCATCGTGGGCTTTCCGCCCGTCACCCCCACCACCACCACCACCACCTCCTCCCCTCCCTCCCTCCCTCCCTCGGCCACTGAGTTTCTTTTTTTTTGGGGGGGGAGTTGGGGCAATTGGGGGAGGGTTGGGGTTGGGGAGGGTTGGGGTTGGGGTTGGGGGGGGGGGACGGGGACTTTTCCAGGTGCCAGTAAAAGGCAAAGGGATGAGCTTTGGTGACTTATAAAGTTGCCCGCGGTCGTCCCCGTCCGACGGCCGAGAGAGTTATTTGGCAGAGAGGAGAGAGAGGAGAGAGAGAGAGAGAGGGGGTCTGAGGGGGTCTGAGGGCGGGTGGAGAGCCTTCGGGGCGTTCAGGAGTCTCCCGACTCCCGGACTGGACTGGAGTTGTGCGGCTCCTCTGCGAGCGGCGGCAGCTGCAGCCGGAGGCCACCGTATTCCCCCTAAAAGAGCCTTTCCGCTAAATTTTAGCCAACGAGGGAATTCGCCCGCAGCGGAATTTCTTATCCACCCGCTTTCTCCACCGTTCAACTGTCTTTTTTTTTCCCCCCTCCTCCTCCTTTCTTTCTTTTTCTTTCTTTCCTTTCTTTCTCTCTTTCTTTCTCTCTTTCTTTCTCTCTTTCTCTCTTTCTTTCTTTCTCTCTCTCTTTCTTTCTTTCTCTCTCTCTTTCTTTCTTTCTCTCTTTCTTTCTTTCTTTCTCTCTTTCTCTCCTTTCTTTCTTTCTCTCCTTTCTTTCTGTCAGAGAACTTTTATTAAAATGATATAGAGATAACGAAAACGTATATATATATATATAATATTATATATATGTATATATATATATATATATATATAGTACCGCGTTGTCTCGATGGGTTTTTCAACAGAAAGAAGAAGTGATTTTTTTTGTTGATTTTTTTTGTTTGTTTAGAAGAAGTGTTTTGGTTGTGTGTTTAGTTGGGAGATGCCATTTAAAAAAAGAAATGCAGATTTATTAGGATTTTTTAAAAAAAGAAAGTCAAAGTTACCAAACCTGTGATTATTTATTTCTTTTAATTTTTTTTGGGGGGGAAGAGAGAGGGAAGAGAGAGAGAGAGAGAGAGAGAGAAGGGGAAAGGAGATGACACTGATCAAAGTGAATGGTACAGACAGACACACACACACACACATAGGATGACTGTGTCTCTCTCCCCCATCTCTCCCTCTCTCTCTCTCTCTCTGTGCTGTTTGTCTTCTCTTCCTCCAAAAAAAAAACCAAACCGAGAGAAGAAGTATGAGGCGAAGAAAATAAAAAGAAGGTGATGGAAGCGAACAAAAACCAAAACAAAACCAAAAACAAAAAAACCAAAAAAATTGCAATTCTCTTCGGAGCAAAAGTGAGCAAACGAAACGACATTGGTTTTTCTTTTCCTATTTCCAGTTCCCTTTGTGGGAGGCAACGGGTTCGGGGGTTTTTTTTTTTAACCGGAGCGAAGTCACTTGGCCCCCAGGGATGGCCAGGACTTCGCTCACCTCATTGCACAGACACACACACAGACACACACAGAGAGACACACAGACACACACACACAGACACACACACACACACCAGCCTTCAGGGTGAGGTCGCCCAGGATGGCGATCAGTAGTCCTCGCCTCAACCGCATCCCATGGGGTACCGAGGCCAATGCAGTGTGTGGGTGTGTGTGTGTGTGTCTCTCTCTCTCTCCCCCCCAAAAAAACACACACACACACACACACCCCTGAGATCTATTTCAATTTAAATGCCCGGTTTAGATTTCAACTGTGGTGACTTTTCTGGTCCGGGTGATCCTTCGATGCTTTTTACGCATCGGGGCCATTTACAGGAGGAAGGAACGGTCTACGATTGAATGAAAATCGTACGGGGGTTTGAAAGGAGAAAGAGAGAGAGAGAGAGAAAGAGAGAGAGAAAAAAACATCACCATCACCACCAACTCACTCACTGACTCACTGACTAAAACCTGCGAGAAACAGGACAGACAGAAGCGGAGATCAGACACAAACGCTGCGTTACAGTGTTATTTGTGTCGATCGTTTTCGCTGAAGAGCTTTTCACCGCAGCACTGTACGTGGTTGGGTTGTGTGGGGGTGAGGGGTGGGGGGGGGGGGTGGGGGGGAGGGTGTGTGGGGGGTGGGGTGGGGGGTGTGTGTGTGGGGGTGCGGGGGGGGAGGGGGTGTGGGGGGGGGGGGGGGTGTGGGGTGGGGGGTGTGTGTGGGGTGGGGGGGGTGTGTGTGGGGTGGGGGGGGTGTGTGTGGGGTGGGGGGTGTGTGGGGTGGGGGGTGTGTGTGGGGGGGTGGGGGGGGGAGGGTGTGTGTGTGGGGGTGGGGGGGTGTGTGGGGTGGGGTGGGGGGTGTGTGGGGGGGGGTGTGTGTGGGGGGGGGGTGTGTGGGGGTGGGGGGGGGGTGTGTGGGGTGGGGGGTGTGTGTGTGGGGGGGGGGGTGTGGGGGTGGTGTGGGGGTGGGGGGTGTGTGTGGGGGGGGGGTGTGTGTGTGGGGGGGGGTGTGTGTGTGGGGGGTGGGGGGTGTGTGTGTGGGGTGGGGTGTGTGTGTGGGGGTGGGGGGGGTGTGTGTGGGGTGGGGGGGTGTGTGGGGTGGGGGTGTGGGGGGTGGGGGGGGGGGTGTGTGTGTGGGGTGGGGGTGTGTGTGTGGGGGGGTGTGTGTGTGGGGGTGGGGTGTGTGTGTGTGGGGGTGGGGGGGTGTGTGTGGGGTGGGGGGTGTGTGGGGTGGGGTGGGGGGCAGAGCTGAGTATGTGGGAACATTGTTCGTGGGGCTCCTCTGACTGCCAGTGTGATATTTTAATGATCAAAAACAGCTGACGAGATGCTCAGGTCTTTTCAATCATTAAACTGCGTTGCGGTGGTACAGGGGCTCCAGGGTTTAAACTTTAAAGTTGACCCTTGTGTGGCGGTGGTGCTGTGCAACAGCTGTTTCTATCACAGAGCCCCATCGCTGGTTGGAGACCATCTCTTCCAGGTGTCGTTTAATAATAATAATAATAATAATATTAATAATAATAATCCTTGCATTTGATACAGCGCTTTTCACGTCGGGAGGACGTCCCGAAGCGCTTCGCAGAACACACTGTGAAAGTGAATTGACTGCATAGCTGTGGGCGAACGCGGCAGCCACGTGCGCACAGCAATGTCCCGCCAACAGTCGTAGATTGAAAACGAGCAATTTATTATTGTTTTGGTTTTTGGAGGGATTATTATTTCGGTTTGGTCGGAGATTGGCTGGCAAAAGGGTCCCTGCACCCCCCCCCCCCCCACCCCCCCCACCCCCCCACCACCACCCCCATTTACAGCAGATGTTCCTCAATGGCTGTGAGGATACCTGACCGAAATCGAAGACTTAAAAGGGGAGCCAAAACGACCAAAAAAAAAAACCCACGGGATAGCTGCAGCCCGGGTGACAGTCGCAGGTTGTCACGTTTTGTTTTGTAAACCAGCGATGACGACTGATATCAGTGGAGGGATTTGTCCAACGAAGGGTTCACCCGAGACTTAAATGATAGTGTAAGCTTCAAAGATTGTGGAACCTCAAAAAAAATGTCAGAGTCAAAGTTGTGCGCTATTCAGGCTCATCTTTACATTTACATTCACTTTACAGCATATTTCTGTGAAGCGCTTTGAGACGTCTAGAAGCCGTGAAAAGCGCTCTATCAAATGCAAGGATTATTATTATTATCTCTTGAGTTCTGCTTCCATTTGTTCTGGGCAAAGCTCATGTACCATATTAATGACATCGTTGTATCACATTTGTGAGTCATGTTCTGAGCATTATTTGCCAAAAGATTTTTCACAAAAGTCTGGAATTGACAGTTTGACAGTGGAGGAATGGAATAAAGATCCATTGCAATTGGGAACAGCCTTAAAATCCGAGCCATGGCAGTTAGAACTGAGGCCAAGAAACATTTCTTCACACAAAGTTTGTGAAGATGTGAAATGCTCTGTACCAGACAACAGTGCGGGCAAAATCAGAAGGTGTGTTTAAAAGAGGCAGAGATTTGAACAATAATCTATAAAACCCACAAAACAAACATTCCCTGCACATTACAAAGTTGTATCCTGTGAAGTGCTTTAGCATGTCCTCCCAATATGAAAGGTGCTATACCAAATATAATTATTATTATAAACGGGTATGACAAAAGGGGCATTGGGATTAAATGAACTTTCATTTAAATGAAGATCTAATATACTGGTGGAACAGGTCTCATGGACTGAATAGCCTTTTCCTACATTTCTTCACACACTCAATATTTTCATGTTTTTCATCGCCCTCTGTGACAAAAAAATATTCCCTGGTGTCTGTCCTAAGCCTCCCATTCACAATCATGTACTAGTCTTTTTTGGTATAACCTTATTATATCTTGTAATATTGTCTGTGTAGTGTCTCTAAGAATCTTTTATTTCTGGGATAAGGTCACCTCTGAGACATCTTTTCACAAGGCTAAAGAGCATGAATTTATCAATTGCTTGTTGACACTTCTAGTAAAAGCAGCAAGCTTTTGTGAAAATTAGAATGTGGTTTGAGGATCATCTCTGTTGATGGTGCTGAAGAAAAAATACTATTCTTTTCAAATTTTAATAGAGTAACATAAAGGCAGTGCTTCACTAAGATGTTCAGCTAAAAACAAGGTGATATTAATTTTGTCTGAGTTTGTGATTTCACACTTAATCCAAATTCTAAACAGGTGGTTGTTCTGTCAGATTATTCTGTACTTCATGGTGATAATAGAAACCACACTTCAGCAAAGCAAAATGTGTATTATGATAGAATTTCAAGAGGAATAACTTGAAGACCTCATTGCATCACCACTTGTGCATTCTTTTCTTCCTACCCAAGTCCTTTATCTCTGCCCGTGAATTCCTGCTTGAAAGTGCATATGTGGGCATGCTCTGTGAGGACAGAATCTGAGCTAGACCCTACCCGGGTCAAATCGCCTGCTGACATTCACTTAGAAGTCTGACATATAAAGCCTGGACATGTGAAGTATGGAAATGACTGGTGCCCACTGAATTTTTAGAAGGGAAGCGGGAAGTTAAAATTTAAAATCT